CCAGCCGTACCCTTTGGCGCAGGGGTGTGGGCGCCCTTTTAACGCTCTTCTTTCGTTCTCTCTGGTGCCCTTAACACATGCCGGCAAAAGAAGAAAAGAAGCATCCTGGAATTTCCTCTTGACCCACATATACTCGTAGCGCGGCCCGTTCAAATGAGACGGCGGGAGAATTCTAAAAACTTGCGAAAGGCAACTTGGCGAAGTATACTGCCGTTGTTCTTTTTTTTTTACTTTTTTACCGCGCGATGCTTGAGCACGGGGAATTTCGTCGCGGATCCTCGCGAAAAGCCGCTGAAAAGAGGAAAATGAACGGCGCTTCTGAATTCTTGAAGCTCCTTTTTCGGCGAAGCGTTTCCCGGGACTTTTCTTTTGTGCGTGTTGTACACGCTTGTCGCTTCTCGTCTCTCTTCAACTTGGCCGCCCTGCGCATTGTCCTTCTTCCGATCTGCCGTGACACGGGTTTTGTTCCTTCTGAGGTTCGCCCGTTCTTTCTCTCTCATGCTTAGACACTCACTTTCGTTCGGTACTCCTTGCTTTCGGTGTAGGAACATTCCGTGCGCTTTGCACTCCGCTGGCTTCACGCGGTGACCTTGCCAAGACGCCGGAAACGATGAGTTTCCTCTTCCTGCCATTCGACCTTGTTACTTGTGAGAAAAAGAAAAGGGGGGGAGGGGCGGAATGAAGGAGGTTCTCGATCGGAGGCTGCCAAATCACCTTGGCTCTCGTCTTCACCACCACTGCCGGGAAACGTTCCTCCGCGCACCGGCGACACATAAACTTAGCGGCGCTACCTGTGGACTGTGTTTAATTTCAAGTACAAAGAGCACACAAGGAGAGCCTGAGCGCGCTGAGAGGAAAAACAAATACTTTCGGGAAAGATACAGAAAGCAACCGCCGCTCCTGCGGAGCCCCGTTTCATTCCCCTCGTCGGCTGGGTGTCGTTTTTCCTCCCACGAAAGTCCAATATTTACGCCACGCGCAGCTGTTTGCCTCGGTTAGCGCCCTCCACGCCGCACTGTTTGCTTGGACGCCGAACGAGCGTCCGACGTCCGCACCCTGGACTGAGCCTTCACTTAGCACCCTTCGTTGTTGTTTTTTTCGCATTGTTTTTTTCTCGTTTCTTTCTTTTTCCAGTTCACGAATTCGATGTCGCGCGTTTTTGTGGCACGAGTATTTGCGTGAGAAGGCGCGGCGCTACAAATCCGTGCGTCCGCACACGCGGAGAAAGTTATTTTTTCATTCGGAGCTCCTGCCGCCGATGATCTTGTGCCGTTTTATCACTGAACACTGCCTCGAGAAAAACAAAATACTCGCAGCTCCTCAACTTATGATGCGATACGTGGAAATCAAATGAGGTATTTTGAACTGCCGTCGTCATCATCCTCTTCGGACCAGTGTATCGGTGACAGTGTGGCTTTTAGATCATTCTTACTCTTTCGTGATTTTTTTTATTCAAAATTTATTGCGACAAGCGGCAGCGTCTTGGAAGATTATATTCGAGGTCATAAAACACGCGAGTTGCGATGACATATACCTCCCACAGAAAAAGGCGCTTGACATTTTATTTAGACAACTCGAGTAAAGACGAATTTTTTTTCTTTCAAGAACGGTGTGAGTCTGGAGAAGCAGGTCGACAATGGCGCTTTTCTGTGACGTCTCAATATTGTTTGTTTGGCGCGGGCGTCGCATGAAACGTTCGCATGAGAAACCCCAATCTTCGCTACATACGTGTTAACATTTGTGGTCACAGGAATTCACTCAATGATTCGGCGCGCGTGGAGCGGACGTGAGGTGCTGGAGCAAACTTCCACTTGCTCCCGCTTCCATCCACGTGCGCTTTATTCAATCATGCGGGAGACGAAGCCGCACAGCTCGCAACGCAGACTCACTACAAAGATAGATATGTACGCAAAACATGGCGTATCGACCCTCTCGGCGCATCTGTTTTAAGCGTGAACGAGATTTACATTTGTCGCTAGGGAAGAGTATGCTGACCGCACCGTGAACGTAGGCACACTGCACGCGTCATAAGAGCGGGCAAATCGGCGCAGGTCTCGCAATATTCTTTACACAGCAATGTTTTATTATGAACTGTGCTCACCGCGAAATTAGTGAGCGTGGATTGTTCATTGCTTGGCCGTGTCACAACACCGTTCGTCTTGGGGTTCACCCGATAAGATAGACTGTTCGACAATGAGCCGATTTACCACAAAAGATTGTAAAAAATTAAAACAAAAAACTCTACAGTCCCCAGTAATATCGCTTGTCCGTACACATGAGCGTGTGCAATCACCTCCACTTACCTTTTCATAGCAAAAAAAATGCAAGGAAATCGTCATGGCCATGTTCCCAAGCGTGGTCGTTAATTATTGAGAGAAGTTCAGAAGGGTCGGGCGAGTTGGTCATCCATAAACGTAGCGTGTATTAGCGCAGTACATATGTATGTGCTAATACATATGTGCATTTGCGCAGTACGTATGCGGATGTATAGAATGGGTGT